ATGTTATTGATGGAGAAAAAGTCAAGTACTGATTTCAGCTCAACCTTCACTTTTTGCGTTTTTCAGACTTTGAGTTGGAGAATATAAGTTCTATACCTGACTGAAAATGCTGTCAGCAGATTGATCATCTTTCTTGGGATGAAAAGTCTGACATGTCTGGTTTGCCAAAAAAACCCCACCTTTTGAGTGTTGATTTGCAAATATCAAGGTAATAGTAATAGTTCATGAAACGACAATGCCAAACCAATATTACAGGTCTTGTTTCCCCTCTCCCCAGAAAGGAGGTCGCTGGGATAGTATGGGGAGTGTTTTGTTTAGTGTAAACAATGGAATAATGCTTTGAAGTTGCTTTTGTCAACACCAGTCCTGAGAAAAAACACAACTGAAGCAGCATCACCAGGATAAACAGGCTTAATTTGTATCTTTCCAAACTACTTGGCATATCTGTTTAGTTAACTCCTACAAAATGGTTCTTTCATAAATCTGTGCTCTTCTGCAGAAGTGTGCTGATGCTCTTCTGACTTGTAGCCTTTAACATCTTCTGGTTTTTTATTTGATGAGCACAAATGGTGTCTTGTGTTTAATTCTGTCTGGAAGATAAACCTAGATGCCAAAGTCAGTAGAATCTATTTTCAGTGCTGTATGTTCACCCCCATCCCCTCCCCCTCCAATCTGTGCCATGGTCACTTTTAAAATATTTTCTAAATATTTTGCTAGTACTAGTTTAAATGAATAACAGATAACTACTTCACAAAGCTTTTCTTATATATAAGAACAGGCTGGAATGTGCATGTCCTGCTGTTGTGAGGTGCTAGTCATACAGCCTACGGCAAGAGTTCTGTGCAAGTTAGAAATGCGGGTGTGGTGGTGTGTGTGTTTTATGTGTAAAAGACTCATGAATTTGGGCCATTCTTAGGATACTTGTTAGATGTTAGAAAATATAGAGTTTTCTATTAGATTTATGCAGGAACTTGAACACACTTATATCTGTATCAATAGCCTTCTTGCCTTAAATAGCTCTTAAGCTAGCCTGTTCTTATTAAAGATACATCAAAGAGCCAATACACCACTGGATGATGTGATGGGTTTAATGATTTGCAGTATGGCTAGACATTAGATTCTGGACAAGAGCTAAATTAATGCAAGTTCTGTAATTGTTTTCCATATGCACAATTTAAGATGGACGTTGTCTGGTGTAAGTATCTGTGCTACAGAAGAGTTACTTGCAGCTGGTGCTAGCAAAAGATGTGCTGGGTTGTCTTGTGTTAGACTTGCCGTTGAAAAGTACAGAGATGACTAATGCAAACCAATGGTAGAGCTTTTATAAAATGGGTATGTCCATTACATAAGTTAAAAATATTCTTCAAAATTTATATCCATTTATGTTATTCAGCCTATAGCTCTTACTCTGGTTATTGGGCAGGGTTACAGTATGGGTGAGTGTATGGATATTAAAATTTCCACTAATAAATGTTTTTGATAGTCAAACAAATGTTTCTGATAGTTAAGCAATAACTGGAAAGCTCTCAGGGAAGCATACCATGGATATACTCAGTAACACAGATGCTTCGTTCTAAGTTTTCAGCTGTTCTCTTAAAGCAACGTGCAAAATTCTAAAGAATTTAAGCAGATCTAGTGCAAGACTTGATGCTTGTGGTGGTGGGAGAGAGGGGGTTTTTGAACCAGTAGTTTAAGGATCTGTTTCCAGTTTTGAGGTGTAGTAATTGCGGTGTGACAATCCATCATGCTACCACGGAGAGGAATTCCTCTTCAAAGTTATTGACTAGCTGGAGGTGAGGAAGAGGTAACAAGTTGTGTTGGTAATCTTAACTGTCTTCTCCAGAGGTAGAATAGCCACAAAAATCAGTTTATCATCTGGTTACATTCTTACTGTCTGTTAGGGGTTTTTAAGGGTGACTGTGTAACTGTCAGTAGAAAGCAGGAAGTTGCACAACTGAGAACTGTCCCAGCTGAAACTGATCTTCCAGTAAACATGCATTTGTCTGTCAATACTGTTTACTGCCATTTGAATAACATCTCTAATCTGCAAGTGTGACTACAAGCCTTCCTAAAATGTTCCACTCCATGTGCTTGCTCATGTGTAAATGGCCAAGTGCTAGCCCGTTAGCCCATAAGTAGCGGTGTGGAAGTGAGGCTATGGGATGGCAGTAAGTGAAAGGATTTAATAGTCTGGGTCTTGTCTTTGTTGTGTATGTTTAAGCTTTTTGTAGATGGGCTTATAGTTCTTGGTGGTCACCAGTGGGAGGATGGTAAAAGCAAATGCTTGAGATCAGGCCTGTGGAACCTGGGGCTTGCAGAGCCATGTCCTTGCCCTGCCTGCCACCAGGAGGCAGCACAAGCTGTGCGGGCTGCAGAGATCAGTTATTTGGCCACAAATTCCGTCGTTCCACATCTTGGAAGAAGAGCTGTGTGCCGGAGTCATAGTTGCTTGTAACATACTATTTTCTATAAGGCAGGAGAGGGATATTTTCAACTCCAGAGTCTATGCCAGCTTAGATGGTCAGATTTGCCACCATGGAGCTATGGGGCTCCTTATTTTAAGCATCTTAAAATTGGTAGAATGCTTCTTTATCCCCGTTCATACCTTTCAGCATGAGCATGCTGGAACAGTGCATCGTGTGGAACTCTCTTGATTGACAAAAATTCCCTAGCATCGTGGGCAAAGATACAAATCTGCTTTCAATTGGAATGTCGGGAAGGCATAGTTGACTGATCTGTTTCCTAAGACAGCAAGTCCAGCTTAAATTTTTTTCTGCCTTAGCCTGTGTGGGCAGTCAGATGCAACAGCCAATTTGCAGTAGGAAAGACCAGCACTTTCATAAGATCAGTAAGTGGACATCTGGAAGCACTTGAGCACAATTTTGTACTTCTAATACAAATCAATGGAACACAGGAAAACTGAGGGATATGTTAGAAGATCAGTTGTTAAAAGCAGGAGAGGTGGATAACAGAGCTTTGGATCATGCACTGATTTGCAGAATTCTGCCTAGGTCAGCACTTAATTTTGATACAAAGAAAGGAGACTTGCAGTTGCCAGAAGATAAGATTTCAGCAATACTGTGTAGTACCTATTTTCTGATAGGATTCACTCTACATTTATTTTTCAGGTAGCAGTTTAGGAGAGGGGTGGCAGGTAGTGTTTTCAGAATACAGTAGGATCCTATGCTGCTTCCCTAAATGCTGAGATTGGGGTGGCAGGGGAGAGCAGGGAGTTGGAGGGTGAAGCTACTGAAATGCTCAACTAACATTTGTTTTCAAAAAATTTGTGGAGTTATGAGTTGTGCTATGTTGTCATACCTTAGAAGTAGAGGCCTTTGCTTTCTCAGTTGATCTCTATCAGTTGGCCTTTTCTAAAGACAGTTCCAGCTCAAGTATGCTGTCCAGTATAGTCACTGCTGAGCTTCCTTTTTCCCTCCTTCCTTGAGTGTAATAATGGAATATCATCTTCCCTAGCATACATCTGAAGCTGAAAGTACAGAAGACATTTTTCAAAGGCATAGTTTGTGGTTTACTTGTTAACGTAACTAAGCAATAGAAAAATACACACTCGGTTAAGTGCACTTCTGAATAGACTGATTCCTTGCTGCAGTCATGAAGGACCTCAGGCAAAAAGCCCTTCTGCTTAGGGTGCTGCACTGATCTGTTGCTGCTGCTGTTCTAAAATGGGGAGATTTCAGTGTTATGATCAACTCTCCTTGGTGGGGAGGCGAGTGGCATACAAAGCACTTATGGGTTTTCTCAAAGTAAAAATATACATCTCTTTACCAACAGTAAAATAGTTCTAAGCACTCTATGAAAGATAGCCGAATTCTTACATAATCCTCTTCCTAAAATGGTGCTCTTAATTTCTTGGTTCAATGTCCCCAGGTCCATGTGAATTCATAGGTTGTTAGCCTGTGAATTCTGTGCACATTAAGGCTTGGCTCTGCTGTATTTAAAGAGCTTCAGTTTTTGGTGTGGCTTGCCTCTAAGCACAAAGATGTATGCATAAGGGTTTTAGGATAGTGGTGCACTAACTCTTTCTGTTGTTGGAGGTTTTTTCCTCGGTTTTAAATGTATGTGAGAATCTTGGTGTTAACTTGGACAAGTTGGAAACTATCAAAGCTGAAGGGTTTGACAGCTACTCTTGTTAAAACAGGTAAACATTACATGTATGTGTAAGGAAACTTTTTGCTAAATAAGTTTAGTTTTTGAATATCAACATCTATCCTGTATATTTGGTCATAATCCCAAGTAAAATGCCTGAAGCCTAGCTTTATCGAACTAAAGCCTTCATGTTTTTTCCAAATCATTTTAAAACTGTCTGAAATAATGCTTTTCCTCTTTCCTTATGGGGAAGTATAGTACCAAGTATGCTTCCTTTAACAATTATGTTTCTGCCGTGTCTTTTGCAGGTCCTTTTTTCACACTACCCCTTTCATGAGAAAAGTCTAAATTCTTGATAGATGCAGGGTAGATTTTTGTATGTTTCTTCTTTAGATACATTTTTCTAGAAAATAGCAAACAGATCTATTCTATAGACTGATTTTTCATGTGCTTCCTAAAGGATGGGTCTGATTTTATTCCTTTTTTTGGTCTTCAGTTGCTTAATAAATATCCTGTTTCCCATGGTTCAGAACCCCTCACTTCATTCAAATGTTTTAGGGCTGCTTCTTAAAAGGATTTCTGTGGCTAAGCAAAGCTGAGCATTAGATGCAGTAGGAGGAGAAGAAGAAGAATTCAGTCCTTGGTTGGGGGAGAGGGGGAGGTATGTTTTTGTTTTGCTGTTAGCATGTTTTGCCCCACAATTTTTAATGCTGTTATATTTCATGCTTTTGAGAAGATGCCTTGAAGGGCTTTCACATGACAGCAGAGAAGTGAAATTTTTAACTGCTTTCAGTTGGCTTTCTTGTAGCAGCAGTATCTGCTTATTGCAAATCACTGTGTCTGTGTGGCAGTACTATTTTATTGTATCTAACTGGTGTCTTGTTTCTTTTCAGAGATCGTTCACATTAATAATAGAAGCATGGGATTGGGATAATGATACAAAAGGTGGTGAGTATTTATGTAAAACTTGCAGTTTTCACTTACTCTCTGCTATGTGTACACAGATTTGGGGAGGAGGGAAATGGTATGCTGCTGCAATTAGCCATCCCTCCAAATGAGTCTGAATGCAAGCCTGCTATCTAAATAAAGGGCATGTACAAATCCAAGCAGTGAATATTGGGTTAGGAACTGTGAAAAATTATTACTGATAGGGAAAAGAATGGACAGTAGTAAGTGAAGGTTGTAATACATGACTCTTAATTATTAGCTTTAAAAAATGTTTCAAAATCATGATAGGCCCTTTTTTTAAAAAAAAAGAAAATTGTGTTGTAGAGTTGCACTTTAAATTCTCCTCAGTTTACCCATAACCATGTTGTGCAATAGTTTATATTATCAGGTAAACAAATAAGCATTCTTGCTCCCCATAAAGAAACCATGCTTGATGTTTTGGATGAAAGTGTTCTAAGTCATGGTATGATTCCTTCTGTGTTTGTTTCTCCTCAAGTACTGAAAGTTACCTTGCATTTCTGGTCTGTAAATGGTAATGGTCAGTATCAGAGCAGAGCTATTGATCTGAAGGAAAAGCAAGATTATTGTATAAATACTTCAAAATCTTGTGAAAGCGCTGGTTGCCATATTGTTGCTAAAGTAAGACTCCAGCCTGAACCTACTCTTTGGTAATGGCTTACAAACATGTCTTAAAATAATCAGTGCTTTTGGCTGTGTGTTAAGTGAACTTCAGACTTTAACGTTATGGTTAATGATGGACTATTTAATCTTGGCTTGGATCAATATAGAGGAAGAAAGTGTTTGAACATTAAGGTGGCAAAGGTTTATGTCCCAAGTCATCATCAGTTTCTAATTATAGGTTCCATTCTGTGCTGCTTCACTGACCATCCTTATCAGGATGCATCAAGCATAAAAAAATTGGCAAAGTTCAGTTGATTTTAAGGCTGTGTTAAGAGTTTCAAGGTCCTTTTCCTTGAAGATTGGGATCAGTCCCATCTCCATTTTCCTGACTGACATTCCTAACTTGGAGATTTTTCTAACATACTCTGTCTCCAATGACAGACAAAGTAATGATGAGTTTGTAGTTTGTTCCTGAGCCCACCCTCTGTTAGAATTAAGTTTCTTGTGTCTTGTTGTTTAACAGCTCCTTTAACCTTTTCTAATAGGTATGTTTTCTTTAGATCTCTGCTAATTCATGTTGCTGCAACCCTTCAGTTGGTCCACAGCCTTCTTGAATGGCTCTTCCCAAAGCTGGACATGGTATTCAAAATGAGATCTTTTGTGCTGAGCAGTGTAAGCCTGAATCTTGAATAAGTTTAGATATCCTACATAGCAACAGATCGGAGGCATCCTTTTGAATGCTTTGTTCAAAAAGTATTACATGAAGTTAATTCCTTTAAATAGTTTCCAGCTTGGGAATAATTTACCTAGAGGCAGCTAGTACAGCAAATATTGGAATATTCATGCCCTAGCTCTAGATAGCAGATCAACTCATGAGATGGTATAGAAGGGAGTGAACATGAAGAGCCTATCCTGCAAAACAGATCTGTATGCATTTAACTGCTGAATTTTGTTTTTTAATAAGCTACTTAATAAATAATGGTCCTGTAACTTGCTATGTTTATGTCTTAGAATCTGTAGAATCGTTCTGCAAACCTGTAGTTTTAAAACTCAGGTTTCTTTTTTAAATAGGCTCGATAAGGGGACAATCACTTTAGGTTTCTGTTAAGTCTTTCTTAGCTTTTTAGTTTTTTAACATGCTGTAACAAAGCTGTTTACTTGCATTGATGTAATTTTTTTTCCCTGAACTTCAGACCGACAGGATATATAGTGTCTTCTGGAGGGCTGGTGGGCCACCTCCTTAATTTAAGTTTCCATGAACTCCAGGAGTCTGTATGTGTCAGATGACAGTTTAGCTCTCATGAGAAGCTGCTAATGGAGGGTGAACTTGCCTTTAATATAGGCTGCCAGAGAGATATGCTGTTAAGTTGTATTGCATCTGAAACCTAGAAGGCTTGTCATGTGAATTTAGGAAGGCTTTCTTGGCCTGTAATTTGGCAGAAGACTTAGCTAAACGCTTGTCTTGGTTAAATGTTTCAGTAGTCTGTTTACTGATTCCATGATACAGACATGTTGCTTTGCCGTGCTTCAATTTAGACTTGCATGTTAGATTCCTAGGAAGAATTCTTAATGCTGAAGTTTTTCATTTGTGGTTGTTTTTTGTGGGTGTGGGGGTTTGTTTGGGTTTTTTTTGTTTTGGTTTTTGGGGTTTTTTTGAGTGGTCTTGGCAGGGAGTCCTCCAGTAGGTTTTGCCTTGTGAATCTGTCAAGATGCAAAAATGCTACTTACCTTGTATTTCTGCAAGATCTACTGAACTGCCAAACAGGGACAAATCAGTAAAAATTCATATCTAAGAGAATAGGAAAGGGAATATGGCAACTCCTCCAGAGAAAAGATGAACAATATCTGCATCCTGGAGGGGTGAAGAGAGTTATCTGTGGAAAGCTGAACTCCCTAACATATCCTGAACACTATGCTGATCTCTGGATCAGGTTACATGTGTCTTCTGTTGCTACTGTAAGAAAGATTAATCAAAGTAATTGCAAGAGTCTGTTTATAAGCTGATTAATTGGTTCCAAAGTCAGGTTTTGCTTTCCTTTAATGGGTATGAGTAAGGCTGAAAGTTAAATGCAGGTCCTGTGTTCCAGCTTGGACTTTCAGGTGGGTATTTATAAAACACAAAACCCAACACAATAACAAAAAACAATACTACCCCCCAAAAAGCCTAAAAAAACCCAACAAACAAACAAAAAAACCCCAAACCTGGAAAGAGGGGTTTCCAGTGAACAACTTGAAGGTTTAGAACAGCTGTTATTCATCCTTCCCTCTATGTCTTAGCATCCTATGTTTTTCCTTGCACACATCGAAAGCAAGGCAAGGGTGCTCAGAGCAGATCTGTGAAGTACCATCTCAAGAACAAATCTGCCAGGGCAAGTGTTTCCCCAATACTTACCTCAAACTACAAACTCTAAGAGGGGCTTTCAGACACTGATTCCTGAACTACTCCTGTGCTTTTTTCCTCCTCTGTGCAGCAGGGTTGGCTCGGAGGGTAGCTTGTGGCAGTATAGTGTTACCGCTTGTTTGCTTTGGGAGAGTGGAGGAGGGGGAGAGGAAACTGCCTTAGATACAAAGTCACTGTAAAGGGCCTGTTCTCTGTCATCTGTCACAGCAGTTAACTGCTTTCCAGGTAAGTCATTTGACTTGGCAAACTTTTAGTTGTATAGCAGAAGTCTTGGCAACACCTAGCCCAGTGCTGCCATTACGAAGCAAGCTGGCATCTTCACGTGTAAAGTAACTTTCCATTTGACTACATGTCTACCGCAGGGATGCAGTGGTTGCCTTCCTCTTTCATGTTAGTCTGTAGGAGACTAATCTGTCCTTATAGCTTTTTGAAATGGTTGCTTGAAAAATGCTGAAGAGAATGTGCTTCTTGAGCTGGGCACCTCCTGTTCCTTTGGGCATGAAGTCCATCCGCTACTGTGTGTGTTTCCTTGCAAACAGCTACCAGCATCACTTTTTGTATTGCCCTGTGACTGGCTTGTTGGGAATGTCTGACCTCTGCTAAAAGTTAGGGTGTTGATGAGCAGTGTTCTTATTTAAGTGCAGTAATGGTTCCTGATTGCACAGTTACAGTTAGATACTCTTCAGATGAGGCTTTCTCTTCCAAAAATCAGGTGCTTTGGGAACATTAATTAAAGAACCACCTTTTAGCCATTATCTCCTTTTATGCAAATGTCTGTTTCGCTATCTGCTTTTCTAGAGAGGCTTGTAGAAAACTTCTTAGTCATCAAGGAAGAGAAGCCTTATTGCTTCTGAGGTGTGTTGGAGGGAGGAGGTTCTAGTAGTGTGTGCTGCTTTTTTGACCAATAACCAATACGCAGCTCTTTGCCTTTACTGAGGGCTAAAGGTAACTTGTGTGAGTTCCTAAGGGGAATTTTAATGGTAAACCAGATGCAGGGAGCAAACTTGTCTCATCAAAACAGTTAAACGTGAGACTGAATATCTTCAGAAACACTTTGGCATTGTGGGGGAGGAAGGAGGAACCTTGGCAAACATGTTCCTCCCTGCAATTACAGATCTCTTTGGAAGATGCACATTCTGTTTGGGATCAGTTTTAAATTTGAAGTAAAGCAGAATTCTTATACTTACTCTGGTATTTAAGAATTTAGCATTAGAAACTAAATGTCTTGGAGTTGATTTCCTGATGCCTTTTGTGGTTCAGGGTAAATTATTTGGCTTGCTTATTTAGGCTGTTAAGCCCTACTTTTGCTGGTATAAGCTAGAGGAAGAGCTCTTAAGACTCAGAATACATTCTTTTTCAGAGGAGTTTGTGAAGATAAAGCTTGAGTGTTCAAAAAAAAAAAAAGGCACTAATGGGTTATTTCCCCTGTTCTTGACCCCAGGTATCAAGAGGACTGTTCTGCATAGGTATATTTGCAATGGCTGTAATGCTTGTTCCAGTTGTTTAACTGAGCCTGAATCTGCATTAGCCTGAAGATGCTTGATAAGATTTTTATTATATAAGTCACTCCTTTAATCTCAGGACCTGTTCTTCAGTCCATCTGATGCACTTTGAGGAAACAGTTTTATAGCAGTGGCTGTTGCAGCCGTTTTTAATAAGCCTGTGTTGCTGATAGCTGGAAAATAGCTCTATAATGCCTATTTGCTATTTGTTCAAATTCTTTGACCATTCAATGATTCAGCATTTTTCCTTTACAGTTTTTCAGATCAATAGTCATTAGAGAAGAATACGATTATAAAAGGATGTTGAATCTAATCATGAAGCTTTTAATGGTGGCTGGTGGTATGATAGATATCCTGTTCAGTCAAAAATAAAATGCAGGCAGCCTTTTCTAGCTTGCAGGTTTCTTGTCCACTCTGCTACTTGACCGTGTGCTGCTGGATGACAGACGAATTCACATGTAGGATTTAGAGAGTTAAAGAACAGGGATAGACATCAATGTGTCTTGTCTAGCCGTAAAATGTTTTATGCAGACTAGTCCAGGCAAGCATGAATTGTAGCCTATACATGGCAATACCACTTCTAATATCAAAGCAGAGAGATACTTTGAGTTCTTAATAATTGGAGAACCTCTCAATGCTTAATTAAAACAGCTTTTTTTTTAAGTTCAATATTCTTTAATTTTAAGGGGAAAGATTTTTATGGTAGAAGCAAGCTTGAAAAAAGATGTTAAGATAACAAAAATACATTGCAAAGCCCACTACTTCTGTAGCTTTCCTTTTCCTTTAATGTTGGAGCGACTGAAAACTGTTGCTTCAGTCCTTTTACATACTGAGGAGGAAGTGCAGTTTTGTTAACAGATGCACAGGATACTTCTATGCTGTCAATAACCTCCTAGGTGAGAAACAGTCACTCATTTGGTTTTATTTTCTAAATAGATTAGGTTAATGACTTCTAGAAAGAAAGTAGGTGAAATGCATTTGCTGAAAAAAGATAGTTTAGTATTGCTTGCTCCCAGCTTGGTGTGTTTTATATTATTAATAATCTGAAGTTTAGACTTTATCTCGCTACCATTACAGCCTCTTGCTGTGTGCAAGTTTTTGGTTCCTCATTTCTTTTAACATGAATTTTAAACAATCTTTATTATTTAAAGAAGATGGACACTGAAGCTCTGAGCTGGCAATATTATCGCTATTTCATAAATGGGTGTGAAGTTCGTGTATACAAGTGGAGCTTGTGTACCTTTTTCTTGTCCTTAAATAGTGCTTGGAGTTCCAGCTACAGCTTGCAGAGTCACCTAGAAAAACTCTTGCGGTAGGATGTTACCAGATCTGAATAGTGAAAACATTTGAAAACTTATTACTGGGGTTACTCGCTGTCTATCCTTACCCTTACTGTGCTTTGCTTATTCTTAACATTTACTGAAGCAATCGTATAATTTCACTGTACTGACTATAATTGTGTCTCAACTCCTAGTACTGAAGCTTCTATACCAAGAATAAAATGGATAAAAATACAAAATGGATATTCATAAAAATGAAAATACTTTGTGTTGGCAGTTCCATAATCTTATATCCTGGAATCCTCTTGTCCCATGTGATAGATAATACTTTGTGCACGTTTGGTCTCAGTTAATGAAACCTGGCAGTAGCAGTGCTGCTGCTTTCTCTGAGGGCAAGGCAGGATCCTTATAGAGTATATTGCAACAGTGATCACAATTATCGGTAGTTCCACTGGGGATAAGGATAAGCAGGATACAGGGTTGAGAATGGCCCCTTGACAATCCTGGGTTCACTTGTATATTTCTTCTCAAAATGTCAAATACTAGTTACACAGTGTTCTATGAAATGCTTGTTAAAGATAATTTTCCTTTTCTGTAGAGAGAATGATAAAATAGAAACAAGCTAGTTTATGTACATAATGCAAGCCTACCAGAGTGTTTATGGTTGCTTAGTAATTTTGCAGCAAATTGAGTATACTATGTGTTTTGCTTTATTTTTAAAATTAAACTTGCACTATAGAACTTTAATATCTCAGCTACTAGGTTATGCAGATTTTGCAATTTTATAAGAACAAAAAGGAGCCAAAAAGAGCCTCAGATCAAGATAAAGCTGCTAGTTGTCAGCGTGTGGGTGTGGTATGTTTGGCTGCCTTGGAAAATAAGCTATTTCCTATGGATTATGTTCCAGGGTTTTTTAATATTTCCTTTGGGACACTTTTTTAAATTAGCCTTCCTGTAATGAACTTTGCAAGGCAAAGGAAAATTCAGTTATACAGTAGATCTTTATCATCTTAACATTTTCTTTACCAGGTTTTCTCTTAACCAGTTAAATACTTTTGATTTGAATTTATATGCTCTTGTGTGCTATCGAACTTATTGCCTGTTGAATTTACCTTTTTTTAAAAAGGTGAAGACTTGTTAATAGAACGAGTGGCACATGCTGGCATGATCAACCCGGAAGATCGATGGAAGACACTACAATTTAATGGTCCTGTTGCCCATTTTGAAGTACAAATAAGAGTGAAGTGTGATGAAAATTACTACAGTGCTCTGTGCAATAAATTTTGTGGTCCTCGAGATGACTTTGTTGGTCACTACACGTGTGATCAAAATGGAAACAAAGCCTGCATGGAAGGTTGGATGGGAGAAGAATGTAAACAAGGTAGTACTGTTTCCTTCATTTTAGATTAGCTCTAGTGTATATATGTTAAGTATAAACTGCAGGAGGGATTTCTGTAGTGTCAGTGCTGTAGCATATTAATTTTAACACATACAGACTTTGTCCTTTGAATACAAGTCTTTGAAAAAAACATCCTTTGTGAAGAGTGGAGCCCAGTGCAGGATACAGTGTTGCTTGTGGTGTGTGCTATGGGGTCTACACAACAAATTTAGGATTCGAAGTAGTCAAACATCTTTTCACTATTTGACTTTATTCAATAGTGGTGTTACTTCAAAACAAAATGATGTATCACATCTGTTAATGTAAGATTTTATTGAACAGTGATATCAGTAGTACAACTGTAGACTTTAATCCTGTAAAAATACCCTTGTAACACTGTTTGCAAATGAAAAAGTTTTAAGTGTAATGTGTGCAAAGCTGAAAGCTTTTTGATACCTCTTAATATGAAGAGAAATTCAAGTGTAGTCATCCTTTTTAATGTACCACTCAAATCTCTGCGTTTTGCCTTCAGTCTCAGTGAGTAATTAGTGCTAAAATTACTTGACATACTCTCTTTCTGTTGAGGGCTTCTTGGTTTTGTTTTCTGTTCCTTTTCAGCAAAACCTTGTTAATGACAAGGGAGACCATTTTTAGGGCTTACTCAAGGTCATGTGTATCTTTTGAAGCTTGGGATTTCCAGCATAATACCAGTCTAACACCAGGTTTAAAAAATAACTGTATTTGATAAATATTTCAGTGATGACACTCTTGCTGCAAACCTATTTGATATCAACTTTTTCAAGGACTTACCTTAAGTTATTTTATTTTTTTTTTTTCATAAACAGTTGTAATGGGGTTGTGGTTTGTGAAATAGCTAGCTGGAAGCAACAACTATTGGAATATGGCAAAAGACAGTCTGCTTTGCACAAAAAACAAATAAGCTAAGTGACAGAAGCCCTAGCTGAACAGTTCCGGATTGCTGCTGTACTGATGGATACCTAGCTGCCCAGACTAATGCCTAAATCTTTTTCTATTTACAGCTGTATGTAAACAAGGATGTAACTTGCTCCATGGTGGTTGCAGTACACCTGGGGAATGCAAGTAAGTTTGTATGCTTGAGTATCTTTTTTTATAAGTACTGATTCTTCTAGCATTTTCCATGTATACTACTTTTTAAAAGTCTACTTTAAAATGGAAAAAATTCTATGCAGGAACATGGATGGAAATAGATTTGAAGTAGAATTCACATGTGTAAGAACTGCGTATACTTCATACTGTTTTGCAATCCTATTCTATTTTTTTTGTACATATAGGCCTGAACAGATTTGCTTCATGTAATCCAAAACTATGCCTTTATCAAGTGAGAATAATCGTTTTTCTTTTCAAAATCCTTAGGAGCTTTGATCTCTGTGTACTATTTTTTACCCTCAAATAAAAAGGGGAACTTTCTCTTTGGACTGCTATGACTAGGAAATGCTCACAGTCCTAGAACACTCAATATACATGTTTGGTCACCAAAATATAGTAAACTTAGCTTTTCCAAGAAAAAAGGTTTTTTTGGTGGCAATGGATATACAGTAGCAACCCCAATCGAAACTTTCTACCCCAGGTGAATGTGTTTTGTCCCTAAATTCAAGAGAACAGTGTCTGAAATGTTCCCTTAACTTTGTGATGAAGCCTAAGTAGACTCTGCGATAGCAAAAGGAGTTGATTGTTTCCATGTACAAGTTCAGGCATCCAACGTAGTAGGTCAGGGGAAATGGGTGTTATTTTTACACTGGCTACACAGGTCTACTTGCAAGTTTGGGATGCTGTGTAAGTTCTTGAGTTTCTTTGTGGTCAGAGTTGTATGCATTGTTGTAAGAGTAGATTTGTGCAGTGGTTCCTTTGTAAGCTGTATTGAATCTGCTTGCTTGGAATGATGTGAAACTGAACTGGCTGCCAGAAGCCTGTTCCCTGAGAGCTGACAAATACCATTTGTGGCAAGCTGTGATAGTTTAAGGCAATTCTGCTTCATCCTCCTACTAGTAACTACTACAGCCATCACAGAAGTGGCAGAAATAAGGTGCAGGTCGCTTAGCTTAGGCTTAGAGCTAAGCTGGGGTTGAAGTGCCAGTTTGTGAGCTGACATGCAAACAAGTCCTGTCCTGCTGGAGAGCCTGAAGTTTCTGACAGTGGGGTATGGTAGATAACAAAGTTAAGTCTTAAATTGTTGCACCGCAGAGTGGTTTCTTACTTCCCTGAAACTTCCATCAGATGGTGCTGACTTGTAGAAGATTTGGTGTGTTGTAGCTCTCAAATATGACTGAAAACTGTAAATTCCAGTGTATGAAGTGCAGCACTATAGTGCATTTGCAGTTTCACTTCTGAAGAGCTATAAAACCTCCCTTAAAAGATGTTTTTCAAGGCAGATATTTAAACTATGGCTTCCTTTTTGTAGGAAAGAATATTTCTATTTAGTGTTTTTTGTGATCTTTTCATATCATTAAATATTTTGCTTGTGATTTCAAGTATTGTGTGGCCCTGCTGCTGTTGGTGATTATTTTTTTTTTAGGTTACAAATAGAGATTGTGGTTGAGAGATGGGCCAGTATCACTTCTGCCTAAGAAGTAATCCTTCCCTTGAGCCTTCCAAGAACACATTTTTCCCCTTGAGAACCTACTCTAGTGAATTTTGATTCATGTAAGGGTTTCTGGAGTCCTGTAGGTATCAAAGGAGTGTCCTAAGAGCATGTGAATGTTTGCTTTTCGAATGCAAGGAGCCTTTGAATTAAAGGTGGAAAAGCAACAGGTTTAAGCAAATGCAAAACATTTTGGGGGCGGTGGGGGAGGTGAGAGGGGGTGGTGCAATTTCCTTCTTCGCTTTCATTTTTCTCATACCAACTGTATCTGGGAAGACAGAAGTTGGAGAGGAGGAATAAGGTTTAAAGAAGGGAATACAAAACCTTTGAAGACGGGGGGGCTGGGTGGCTGTGGTACCTTTTTTTTTTAAGGTGTCTGTCAATAAGTAGTCTCATACAAGCAAAGCCTGTCCTCTCAGCATGTCACTGGCGTGAAGAAGCATCTAGTGTTGTAAGTCTAGGTGCCCCCTTCTAACCTGCCCAGCTAAACAAAGCTCACAAAAATAACACTGAGTCTATTGAAGGACTCTGACCAGAAATCTCACTATTTTGTTGGATGGATTTTCTCATCTGAAAGAAAGTACCCAGGGGAAGGAATAAGGGACTTTAATGTTTCAGATGGATTGTATGCCATCTGCCTTGTTAATGCCTATTTGCTGAAGCAATAGATCTGTGATCAGCAGGTTGAAGGAAAACAATGGCCTTTCTATGTCTGGCCACTCCATTTGCGGTACTGCAGAAGGTTCTCAGCTACCTCTTTAAATGTGATTTGGTAGCTTGAGCTTGTTCACATAGGTATCTTTAACTTGTATTCTGTAATAGTTATTAGGCTATATTACAAAAGTTGCTTTTAACCCAAATGGGTAATACTTTCTGTAGAAAAAAGATGCTGAACTAAAAATAAGCAAGGCTTACAGACATGACCTTTATCTTCAGCAGTGTAAAGGAAGCTGTTACTTAAAAGAAACAGCTATGTTTGGTGCTATTGAATTATAATCTAGATTCCTTCATCCTGGTTTTTGGACAGTTTGCTACTGTCATTTAATAGGTGAAAACAATGTCTTTTTTCTAATTCAGAAAGAAAATGAAAGTGTGAGAAAAACATGTGTGAGATGTATGGAAATCTGCTGGTGCCAATAGCTACTTGGTTGCCAAAATCTGCGGTGGCATTTATAAATAGAAAAGTTGGAAAACGTTTTCCATCTTCAACCTGCATGAACATGCAGGTAACTTAAGCAATAGCTCTGAGGCTTCAGCCTAACTCTCATAGAAAGGACCTACCCTCCATGCTTTGATGTTCCAGTGTAATTTAGAGCTGTTCTTGGATTAAATGTTATACCAAAACCAGATCTTAAAAGTAGCTAAATGACTGTTAATAAAGGATATGCCATTAGCTGTAACTGTACATTGTCTGTTGGGCAAATTCATGTAACCATTGTTTTGAGGAAGTTAGGGTGGTTTTAAGTTTGCCATTTCTTTTGTTGAACTTTCATGGATGGAAATTAAGTAGGGGATGACCTGATGTCTCAAATGACCTGACATAGGAAACAATTTTGTGGTATGGCTGGGTCTAGGTGATAAGTTTTTGTCATTGTGGAGGTAGTTCAGCAAAAATAAAAAATTACTGAATAATGAGCAAAATTACTTCCTTGAGGAAAACAAAAGCAACTTAGCTGAATCTTGCAAAGATGGGAAATTGCAATCTTAAAGTAACAAAACAAAACAAAAAACCCCAAACCCAACCTTTATGTATATCAAGACTCACTGTTGAATATTTTTTTTTTGCCTGCAGTGGCAGACCAAATGGTGGTCTTGACTGACTTCACCAGCCCTAAGTAGTAGGAAGGATTGTCAAAGAAGCAACATTGCCAAGCCATGATGATTGGTGCCTTTTGTATGTTTTTGCATCATTTGAAGTACTTTGTTAAATTCCATTAAACTGTCTAGAGAAGAATGGGATCTAATGGCTTATAACTGGTTTAGGCTCAATCCTATCTGGCCTACATTGTCATATTCCTGCCAGGATGATGGTATTTTCAGAAGTCTTTGTAGGTTTCCTGTTGCCTTTGAATGTTTAAATTTCTCTTCCAAAGCAAAACAAAAGAGGTCAAATCCCTAACACTGCTCAGCTTGCGTTCAGCTTCTTGAGCTGTGGTAGGACCTAGGTTATGTCCTGGGAAATGCAAACCTTACTTCACACAACTGTGATACAAAAATTTCTTTAGAATGTATACACTAACTGAAATGAATTCGAAATGGGATTGTTAATAGTACTGTAATGTGAATTTGTGCAAGGTGAACAAAACAAGCATACAGTTTAAAAGTTTTAAAAGTAAATTAATTGTTTAATCTGTGTGCTTTGAACTGTCTTACTCTAGAACTGCTTTTGAACTATATGTGACAAAATTTTGATTTTACAATGTTGGTGATTTTTTTGTTTGTTTTTATTTAATCGTGTATCTTATGTTTGTCCTGTTGAAACAGATTTCTCAAACTTTCTGTCCAGTGCCATGCCTTTTGGTAGTCCTTCTATTTCGTTTCAGCCCTGCTTGGGACGCTGATTTCTTGTGTCCAGCAGTGCCTGCAGATGCTGTAGGCCTCTCCCAAGTGGTTTTGCTCCCTTAATCTGTCCCTATAAGGGCTGTAACCTGCTCAACTATTATTCAGTGCTTTATTCACAGAGATGCAGGAACAAAAGCTTGAGTTGCAAAAGGAGCTCCAACCACCTGGAGTGCTGGGGGTCTAGTAGTGTTCTAGAAATCCTTTGTTAAATGTTAAAGGCTTGCGTAGTCTTCCTGTCCTTTTCAGTAGGAGGCCTACCAGTATCACTAATGTCTTATGTTTTCATGACAGTTGGGTGGATAACATGGTTAACATCAGCATTGGGGAACTCTGCCTAAAATTAGAGGGGGAAAAAAAAAAAAGGCAGCTGGATTCTTGTAAATTCATTCTTGAGTACAAGGGGATCTGGTGAGGCATTTCAAAACAGGTTGTTACTGAAAGACTATAGAGGACTAACAAAACATTGTAGAGGACTGAAAAAAGAAGGAAATACAATACCTGCTTCTGAAAGTGGGAAGACAGTAAGAGATAGAGAACTTCCATACTAGCTAGATCAGCCAGATCTAAATGATATGGCTTCCTTCCACAATTGTTCCAGAATGGAATTATGAGAAATCTCAAAAGCTGCTCTGAACAGTAAACTAGAAAAAGTCTTGAGCAGTAGGCTAGCTGCCATGTCATCTGACCATTTCAATTCCTGCAATCTTGGACTAGCTATGGTCCCTAAAGAGTGTAGGGCTATTGTTTGGCCCTGCAGGAATGCACTTGGTACCAGTACCTGGACATCTTCTCCTGTTTCCTCTTTGATGCAAGATACTGTATGACAACTTCAAGTTTCAAAGAACTTGTAAAATTATTACAGTTGCTGTGTGTCTCCTCATACAAGTTCTCTTGCCTGTTATCATAACCAGTATGCTTT